AGTGCATCGCAGTTTGTTGCGTATGGCCACTCTGGTGGTCATAATGTTGTGGCTGATTGGTGTACTTTATACATGTACACTGTTGGTGTGTACATTGCTAAGAAAGTTAAAATCAGTACAATACATGATATGTTTAGGGTGAATAAACACAGACTGCACAAACAATTCTGTAGGAAAATTTGTGCAAACAAAGAAAAGGCACAAGCTTGCTTTGTATTCAATCAGATTCCAAATTTAAAGGTATCCTGTGGAGTCCTTGACCAATGGGCAATGTGATACACATCCTTGCTAATGGTTTCTTGCTATTCTGCCAGTGACAGAAACACACAAAGAAGCTTAGAAATGCGCCTACAAAGACAAGGAAGAAGAAGACTGCAAGCAAACTAATGTGGATGCAGCTCTGCAGATGTTTTATGGAGGAAGAAATGCATCCATCATGTTTGTTAAACATCAAGGCTACATACAGAGCACACTGAATGTAAATATAGCTGTAGTCTGTTCTTCTTCCTCTTTATATATCTCTGCTTGGTCCTGGCCTTTTGCTATGTTTGCATATAATTAAAAAGTAAAGCTTCCTATTTTTTTTTTGTCCTCATGTTTGTCCTTTTCTTAATTTTATGCTCACAGTAATACATTTATAAACTCATTCTGTACTCTGAAACTACAGGTAAAAAGAGGCGGGGAAATTACTGAAAAGAAAGAAAAGAAGAAAAAGAAAAAGAAAAAGAGAAAATTTATGCTTAAAAATGTGACTATTGAGTCAGGTAATCTGCAGTAAAATAAAAAAAAAAAAGCATTCGTCCAGGCATTCATTCACAGGAATAACAAACAAATGAATGCATGGACAAACAGAAGAAACACTATTTCTCCGTCATCGATTCCTCACAGTGCATCTCACTTATTTTTTCAGTGTCAATCTCACCCTACCTCTCTGCTCATCACACATGCAGCAGGCCTCAATCAGATCCCTATCTATGCGTTCTGCCAGCAAGGCTCCTACTAAAGGCTACATTGTGAATAGGGGTACCCTTATAGAAGCTTCAGGCAGGCAGAAGCAATTCTGTGAGTGTGTGTGTATGTGTGTCAGGACCATTATGGTGTCAGAGCTTATAGTGTAATCTTTCAGACACAGAACACTCTGTTTAAGGATAGTGCTGGTCCAGCCTAGATTACTGCGTCTCCTGTCAGCCCACGGTATTGTTGTTTCACAGATTACCCTCTTACCGCCTTACACTGCCTGGCTCCATGCATTTATCTGAAGAGAGACAAACATTGATTTCTTCTCTTTCCTTTCTTTTCTCCTTTTTTATTCATCCAAAGCTTGTTTAAAAAAACACTTTGAACCATTCACAGTCATTTAGGGCACATAGGATAGAAACACAATGTTCTTTAAAGGAGCAGGTTATGTTTGTACCCACATAGGCATTGTTGGTCCTTTTGTCCTGCAAGCCTGCGGCAGTCTGGTACAAAGGCATCATGTGAAATAAAGGAGGATCCGGTACTCATTTTTTTAAGTGGGATGCACTGGAATTCAAATGTGAACGGCGATTGCCTCAGCTTTAGCAAGGAACTTTAAAGCAGTGAAAGCCTTTTTACAGAATCTACGTACATGCCCCCACTGCACACACTCAAAGACACTGCGATCAGAAACAAATGCACGTCAGTGGAATTCCTCATCATCCTCCTCTGGACTTCAAACTGCAGATAAGGCTCAAATATAACATTTGCAAGCTCTCTCTCTCTCTCTCT